GCAAATGACAGGCCAACATCCGTCTTGCCAACCCTTTTTTTTTGGGTTTTTTTTTTTTTTTTTTGTCAGAGTGGAAAACAGAGTGGCAGAGGGCGGCCTGAGGTCAGGTTTCCACGGCAACTGTCAATCTCCAATTCCCCCTCCAGCTGAACACCCTCTTTCATCACCATGGCAGCGGAGAGGCCCCGTTTCCCAGGGGACGAGGGGAGTGCGGGAGGGAATGTGAGATGGCAAAAGGGAGGGAGAGGGCAAACAAGTTTTGTGAAAACACAGTAATCCAATATGGCCGCCATTGTGTCCAAGCTAAGGGCGGCTAAAGCTGGCTTCTCAGTGAGAGAAGATGTGTCCTATGATGATTAACCTTGGCTGAGACCTGGAAGAAGGGATGTAGGAACACAGAGCTGCAGCCAAAGCCTCAGTTCAGTGGGCTAAAGTGTTTTAGTGTCACTTGGTCGATAGATCACAGTACTCAGTGTGCCAGGGTGAGAGGTTTGATTCCCACAGCAGCCAACAACACCATGCATGGACTCTTAATTTAAAGGGTCATTTAACATTGGACTTGTACAGTTAAACTGACTGAAGCCTTCCTAAAGCATGATGCTAATCCTGCTTTAGTCTTTGAGGGACTGTTGAACATTAGAGGGGTTTTTGTGATTCTCTGTTTTATTCATTTAACATTTAGATCATTCTGGAGCATTTAAAGTTTCATTTAAAACTAAGATGAAACAGCTGAGCGATTTGCTTGTCCCAGTTCCTGAAACGTGACGATTTGCTGCTTTGTTTTGTTTTCCTGCAAACTTTGTTACTGGGTTTTGAGCTGTAAGATGGACAAAACCAGCTGTCTTAATACATTACATCATGTTGCGTGGTTATATCTGCAGACATAATCAATAGATTAATTAATAATACTCCTTCCAGGTTAATAGTCTCTCATTTGTCACAAGCGCCCACTTGGACTGGTTAGGGTTCGGTGGTTAAAGGTCAAAGGTTAAGGTCAGTGACCTCACATCTGTCCATTCTCGTGAATTTGACCGTTTGGCGGAGGTATACAATGACGAAGCAGTAATTCTAGTTTAATGTACTGTTTGAATGCCTGAGGTGGCTTCCAAATGATGTTTATCTTGTAGTTTATACCAAGACCAGGATGTGTTTTTGCCAAGTTCACAATAGACTCCGTGGACCCTGAAGCGTATCCATCTAGACAGTCTGTGGCGATAGTAGTTAAAGCCCACCAGGAATGGCTTGAATAATGAAAAGATCTCCACGGGGCCTTCCTCTGTGTGTTTGGTGAGGCCACCCGGTAAGCATGTATAAGCTACCACTGAGTCACTCACACTGTACTCTGCTGTGTGTATGACTGTACATGTAAAACAGATGTGGACGGCAGTAATGTGGTCCGCAGAAGGTACTGAGGTGAAGCAGCTCACATCCATCACTCTCTCTCTCTGTGCATCTCTTTCAGATCACGGCCACGTCAGCTCTCCCCTGCTGCAGCTCTCCTATCCGCCATCCTCTCCCACCCCTCTTCTCCTCCTCTCTGTAGCCTCCCTCACTCTCCCGCCTCCCTTCTCCTGCTCCCTCCTCATCAGCCTCCAAGATAGATTCCATCAGGAGTAAGGTTGACCTGCTCAAGCTGCCCCTGGCTCTCTCCACCAAGTCCATCTCCGAGCGCAAGAGCCAGCTGGGAGGAGTCGGCGAGCGGCGCGGCACAGGGGGAGGAGGTGGGGCTCATAAAGCCCGCTCACCACCGACCCGAGACATGGACAACGAGTCACAGTACTCGGGCTACTCATACAAGTCCTCCCACTCCAGAAGCTCCCGCAAGCACAGGTGGGTCACACAGGTCACATCGTTCCCCTTTTGCTGGGATTTTAGCAACAACCATTTCATGAGGTTCTCTCAGTGTTGGTGTATATGCTTGTTTCCATTGGTGGGGCGCATTATTCTCATCTGAGGGAAAGCAAAGGAACTAATACATGTACAATTTGCACTAACTACTAGCTCACCTCATTAGCAACCAGCCCTCTTCTGAAATTTAGATCAATCGTTTGCCAAGTTTTTAGTATTAGTCATTTCTTGATGTCCCAAGTGTTCTTAGCGATGGCATGTTTAAAGGACGGAAGTCCACAATATGCCACAAAGTAAACATTTCTAATGTTTACATCCAAAGCAACAACCCCAACATAAATAGATCCACAGTGAGAATTTGTTTTTGTAGAAATGGATAAAAATATTATAACTTTCAACCTGAATAAGATGTTCAGGGTTAGAATGTTTCAACATATCCTCAAAATGTTCCAAATAAATGCATAAAAAGTAAGTTAAATAAACCATTTCACTCTTCAGGTTAGCTGATAAGTACATTGCCACAAGACTGTTTTCTTATTATAATAAGAAGTTGACATTCTGGGGATATTGGTTTTTCACACATGGTTTTGGGAATCTGGAAAAACAGCTTCTAGACTTGTGCAGTAAATATGTGTTAAAGCTGTTAATATACTTTAGCGTGTGCAGACAGTGCCACACAGTAACCCCGCACGCCGTTGTGCTTGTGTCTTCAGGGATCGGAGGGACCGCCACCGCTCCAAGAGCCGAGACAGCAGCAGCCGTGGAGACAAGTCAGTCACCATCCAGACTCCTGGGGAGCCGCTGCTTGACGCAGAGTCGACCCGCGGGGACGACAGGGTCAGCTACACTGCATTCTACACAACTTTGTTCATATTAAAGCAACACTTTTTAACCCAGCACTTATTAATGACCTGAGGCCTCTGATGTTAGATTTTTCTTGTGTGCAGTCACCCTTTAAACTGCAGCCTCTGTATTTGATACTTTATCAGATCTTATACTTGGATTGTGACCTTATCACTGTTTTTGTTGTTCTTAAAACCTGGTAGATCCATTGATGGTAACCCACCACTTTTTTTTTTGTTTACATGTCTCTTTAAAATATATCTAAAATAACAACGAACAGTAAAAAATCAATCATGTTCGCCAAAGCCACTGTAGCATCTTCAAACTTGCTTGTTTTATCTGAAAACCCAGCCAGTGAATGTTTAGTTTTGCTGTTTTGGGTTTTTTTGTTTTGTTTTAATCAATTATAAAAAATGATTGTGCATCCATTTTCTGTTGAACAACTTTTTAAACGGTAAACCTCTTGAGTCCTTGTGTTCAGCACTGGCAGTGCTTTGTTGGCTTTGTAGACAGTGAAAGTGAACACATGACTCCTCCCTGTCTGACAGGATGATAACTGGGGAGAGACCACCACTGTCGTCACTGGCACCTCAGAACACAGCATCTCTAACGAGGACCTGACCCGCGTCTCCAAAGATTTGGAGGAGTCGACTCCGCTGGAGTGCAAGCGTTTTGTCGGCCCGGCTCTGGGAGGCCTTCTAAGCTTCTTCGCTCTGGTCACACCTGTAGCCTTCCTCATCCTCCCACAGGTCCTGTGGCGTGACATTCTTGAGCCCTGTGGCACGCCCTGCGAAGGCCTCTACGTGTCCCTGGCCTTCAAGCTCCTCGTCCTGCTCATCTCCTCCTGGGCGCTGTTCCTCCGGCCACCTCGCGCCACCCTCCCCCGCTTCTTCGTCTTTCGCTGCTTGCTGATGGTGCTGGTGTTCCTGTTTGTGGCGTCCTACTGGCTGTTCTACGGCGTGCGGGTGCTGGAGCCCAGGGAGAGGGACTACAGGGGGATAGTGGAGTATGCTGCCTCGCTGGTAGACGCCTTGCTCTTCATCCAGTACCTTGCTCTGGTGCTTCTGGAGGTCCGACACCTGCAGCCGGCCTTCTGCCTCAAAGTGGTCAGGAGCACGGACGGAGCCAGCAAGTTTTACAATGTGGGCCACCTCAGGTTGGTGCAACTCCTCAGTTAAACCAGTGGTGAATATTATCATAAGTTTACTTCAACTTTCCTAACACTTTGCTTCTATACAAATGGAAAAAATAGTTGGGTTCAAGCAGTAAAATCATCAGTATCCTGGCTTTCTGTAGGTAGCTTACAGTTCATTGGTTTACATGTACGACTGATCTGTCTCATCGCCACATCCTGTTTCAACAACACACGTTACATGTTTGTTCACTTACTGTGGCAGTGATGTGTCACTCTGTGTTGTAGTATCCAGCGGGCAGCCGTCTGGGTGTTGGACCATTATTACAGCGACTTCCCCGTCTACAACCCTGCCCTACTCAACCTGCCCAAGTCCATCCTGTCCAAGAAGATGACTGGCTTCAAAGTTTACTCCCTGGATGGTAAATAAAGCCTTGTTTCAGCTCTGATGCCTGTTTTTCCTCAGTCTGTCAATGTCATTCGTCTGAACCAGATGGTTGCTCTTTGACACTGAGGTGTCTTGAGGTCACTTCCTTACTGAATGTTTGTTTTTTTTTTCCACTCTTGCTCTCATTTGCATGTGAAATCCACTGATGCCTTCCTCTGTGGGTGTTGTCTTATAGAAAACACCACCAATAACTCAACAGGCCAGTCCCGGGCCATGATAGCAGCTGCTGCCAGGAGGAGAGACAATTCCCATAACGAGTTTTACTACGAGGAGGCGGAGATGGACCGCAGGATCCGCAAACGTAAAGCCAGGTCAGATGAGTAGTCCTTACTGATCCGACAGCAGGGATTCACTGCATTGTGGGGGGTTGGTGGAGCAGTAAAGAAATGAACCCGTGCTCAGAATAGGAGAGACACCTTCCCATGTGTTGTCATTCAGTCCTGACCTCTTGCCATCTCATTGTCTGCTCACATATCACTTAAATTATGCAGTTGCCCGTTTGTTCCCAGTAAACTGATTAATCTAACATTTGTCGGTCAAGATTATACTGATCTGACTTTAACCAACCAAAAGAATCTTATTTTGAAAGGACATTCTTTTGAGAAATAGCCACACTGCCAACAGCATCTAAAACTGTGCTTTTTGACAACTCCATAGGTTGGTTGTAGCGGTGGAAGAGGCTTTCACCCACATCAAACGCCTCCACGAGGACGAGGTCACCTCGTCGCCCAAACACCCAAGAGAGGTGATGGATCCTCGGGAGGCGGCCCAGGCCATCTTTGCCCCGATGGCCCGAGCCATGCAGAAATACCTGAGAACAACCCGGCAGCAGGCCTTCCACAGCATGGAGAGCATCCTCACACACCTGCAGTTCTGCATCACGCACAACATGACGCCCAAGGTAGGAAGTCCTTTACTTAGCTGCCCTTGGTGTTGGACTCTGAAAGTCTTTATTGTAGACCCTTAACTTTTAGATTGCTTGTACTGAAATTGCACAGGTTTGCACACTGGGTTGTAATTGCTCAAACATAACTGTGCTTAAGTAAATATCATTGAATTTAATAATCTTCTTTTCAAGAGTGTCCTGTCCAAGATGGGCAATGAATCACAGACAGTCTTTATAAAACATATAATGCCAAATATACCACAACATCAAAATTAAACAAATTATGTTGTACAATCACAAATAGAATTAAAAATCCTAAAGATTAAAATGTAAAAATGAATCCTGGGAATGGAGAGCAGGGCTGTTCTCACTTTTTGGACTGATAAGATTTTACGTTGCTGTTCTTTAACCTCTCATCCTCTCCCCGTCAGGCCTTCCTGGAGCGTTACCTTACCCCAGGCCCCACCATGCAGTACCAGCAGCAGAACGGCAGGGGGCGCCAGTGGACTCTGGTGAGCGAGGAGCCGGTGACCTCAGCCCTGCGTCAGGGTCTGGTGTTCTCCCTGCGACGCCTGGACTTCTCCCTGGTGGTCACGGTGACGCCGCTCCCCTTCCTGCGGCTCGGGGAGGAGTTCATCGACCCAAAGAGCCACAAGTTCGTCATGAGGCTGCAGTCGGAGACCTCGGTGTGAAGGAGTCTCCTTTCCTGCTGGACCACTGATGTGGCGGGACATATGGAGGCCTTGTGGTCCATTCTCTTCCAGTAATTTCCCCAGTCTGTGACAAAGAAACCATTCAAGGAGAGCAATGTCACGTTCCTGAAGCCCCCCCCCTGTTTTATGATCTCTCTTTCTCTCAGATGCTCTGATATCAAACTGTGATGAGCTCAGCAATTGTCTGTACCTGGAGACAAACGGATGCCTTGACTGTTTCTTCTTCTGTGTTGTTAAGTGTTTCTCCTTACAACACTTTCAAAATCCCTTTTTTCTCAAGGGGACTTTTCTTTTTTTGCTGTAACCACTGGACTACTTTACTGTGCTGATTCAACACACGAATGCCAGAGGTGGGGGATTACATCACATGTGTCACTTCCTCTATCTTGTGTCTTAAAAACAGACTGGGGCTCAGCTCTGGCTCTAACGCTGATGTACCACTGCCTTTGGTTTCCCTGTCAGTGTACTGGTTTGTTTCACATGACAGACTGTTTTTTTTTTTTTTTTACTTACAGAATGTAGCATTACGTGAATTGAATTAACACGTCGATTTTCGGCCTTTTTATCCGACTGTAAAGACGAATGAACGTACATTCCTGAGTTGCTACTCCAGATTCCATATGTTCACCATTATCTAAATATGCAGCTTTAGTTTTATTCTACACTGGTGTTTCTACTGTTAATATTATTGTTTTAATAGGAGGTCTAAGCAGAGTTGCCATAACATCTGCTATTAACATACAGTTCATACCTTATTTGGATCAGGATGTTAAAACTTAAGCCTGGTGTGAATCTTAATGTTTCGTGTTGGTAATAAATTCCACTAAAGGACCAGAAAACCAACAATGTATTAGTCCATTCTGCAATAGCGTCTGACTTCCCTGCCCCGTGTGTGAACTCTGAAGTCAGTTCCTAAAGATGTAAATCTTTAAAACCAGCTTTATTTTCCACTTTTTAAAAGGCTCAGTAATCTTTTATACAACAGGGCCCTGTTAGTCACACAGGAGGAACAAAAGTTTTTACTAAACTATTTTCAGCCACTGGTTAACACACGCAAGCAAGTATTTCTGACACCAGGCTCGTGTATATGGTACTGAATTTAAAAATAGTGCCCATGCAGCGAAGAGGTATGTCACTCATTACAACACTGTGGCTCATGAATGTCCTCATTAAAGTGGTGTTTGGACAACAATGGCGCTCTATGGCAGAGTAAGAAGATACATCAGGAAGTGAATACACAGGCGGTACTAGTTACTACGTCAATTCATTGTTGGTTTCGGTCGGTTTGTGGGATTTGTTGGCTGGAACATCACCAGAATTTAATGTAGGTGGCACTGCTGTCTGTACAGGTCTGCCACATTCTTAAGAAAACAGTCTGGTCAAAATGTTGAACTGTTACTTAAGTCTGCCTCTTGATGCATTTTAAAGAAACCATTGCAAAAAGCTACACCTGCCCCTTTGTTTTCAGAGGACAATTAAGTGGCTCAGAGGTTCATTCTTGACCTTGGCAACAGCAGCCGGACTAAACCACTGTCAACCCAAGGTCCTGCTTCCTTGTGTTTCCAGAGCTTTCAGCCACATCTCATTGCCTGCCTGATTTTAGACTGTTTGTCAGAACAACACTGGACGAGTCAGCTAAGATTCTAGGAAACAGGGATGGAGCAGCAAACGGGTCCAAACCTGGTACTAGATGCAGGCATTATAGTCTCCTGCCCAAATGTAGCTGCCTGTCACCATGTGACTTAAATCTTATATATAGGTCAAGTGGCATCATTAACTACATCCTCTGAGCTGATAATGTGGTAGGCAGCTTCAGAAACAAGTTGTTGTTGCTGTTGTTGAACCTCAGGTAGACGTGTTTTTTTTATTTGTGAAGTAAAATGAGGGGAGCATGCAGCAGCGTTGCCGTCTGTGCCCTTGACATTTGTCCCAGATCTGCCATCTCCTCTCACCTATTTTGTAGATCATCAAAATCACATGCATCTCTAAAATATTATCTTTTCATGAGCTAAGAAGAGCAGGCCTGTTTTGAACTTTTCTCAACCCACATCTTCAGTTTTATCTGAATTTCAAGATGACCAACGTTGGAGATTCATATCATGATATTAAGATCATATCAGAGTTGAGATTAGGTGTAAATCCAAAGGCCTGGAATCCAGATTATGCTTCCATATACTGATTGTATGTTAATACCAGGTGTAAATGGCTCTATTTGACTTTTTTTTTAACAAGGTTCACATACGGAAATCAGTGCTAAATAGGCAGCTGTAGTTAAATTTTGAGCTGGCTTGTTTTTTGTTTAATTTTTTAAAATGTTTTTCTACCAACATCCCAAACCAGACATGTGATTGTAACTCCTCACTGCAGCTCCTTTGCAGCCTTAGCGCCTCACCGCCTCGCCTTGTGCCACGAGCTCAGACAGGCACAGTGAACATGCTGCCTCCATCTGTAACTCAGCCTTACTCTCCAGATGTGGAGGTGCAGTGTCAGGCCACATCTGTCCTCGTACGTTTTCCAGGTCCTGAAACTTACTGTAAATGCTGAAGCTCGCCTGATGTCGGGACTCGATCCGCTCTGTTGTATCTGCCTACAGCACGCTGAGCCACAGCACAACTGACTGTTTGCTTTTCCTTAAAATGTGGTTTAAAAAGTCCTTTACAGTTCTAAAAAAAAAACAAAAAAAAAAAACCAAATCCCAGGTCCAGTGTGTACAACATTTTATCTTAGTGATCAAAATGCAGATCCTTTTTTTAAAAATGCATGCCAGAGTTTTTTCAGGCTCCAAACTTTTTTATAATAACTTGTTTTCTATGCGTTTTAAGGTGCCTAAGTTATGATGATGCAAATTTCTGAATGTTTTCACCTTTGAAAAATAAGTGGCTTGTAAAAACAATTGTAGATTTGTCTTGTATTATTTTGCTTTTGGTAACTGTAGCTGGTATAGTGTGTTAGGCATTTCTCATTATTAAACCATTTATTCCTTAAGTCCTCTTTTTGTCACTCATTTTGAAGCATGGCAGGTGAAGTCAGAGCTGATTTCTTCTTTTATCTGTATGCACCTGCAATAAAATGACCGTCTGTATTTTGATATTTGTGTGACATACAGTAGTTGCACACAGTTTCTCTTTTCTGATAAATGGTTTCTGTTCTGTTTAATGGTGTTGAAAGACCTGTGTCACTGGATTTGAGAAACTACCATTAAAGAGAAGCAGAGTGTTTTTCACAGAGCTTTAGAGGAACTTATGTGAAAGGAAGGTGGCAGAGTGGGAGGCTTGTGGTTTCACAGCTTCAGAACGGACAAAGGGCCCCGGACTTCCTGCTCGCTGCTGCTCAGAGCTTGCCTCAGAGGTTTTTTTTATAAAAAGATCTTGCTGACAGCCGACAAGTGAGCAACAAAACAGACCTTCCATCTTATCTTCAGCCTGCCCGGTAAGATGCTGCGATTGTCGCTTATTGCTGCCATTCTGATGATCAGCCCCACCTGCGCTGGTGAGAATTAGTAAATGTTACTTCTTTGAGCTCTTGTGGGAAGATTTTTAAGGTACCTGTCGTATTGAAAATCCTCAGTAATGCAGTGTGTGGATGGAACGCTATCGGACACATTCTCAGTGATGTGCTTTCTGTCTGCAGAGGCCATTGGAGACATGAGCATTTGTTATATCCTGGATGGGATTCTGATCCTCTATGGCATCATTCTCACAGTCTTATACTGCAGATTGAGGGTAAGACAGACAGGAGCAACACACAAACGCATGAACATTAGGAAGTGTGGAACCGTCCCTTATGGTTGTATGGACATTCAAATACTGCTGAACACTGACAAAGATAAGATTATATGCGCATTTCTAAGACTTTAGTTAAAAATGTAATTATATCTTGTGTGGAAAAAGTCTTGAAAATGTTTTTAAACTATTATTTCATTGTAAACAATGTATTGCTTTCCCTGTATCCCAATAAATATGTTTAATCTTCATGTTTATGGGTGCAGCTGATGTTATTCAGTTGTTTGCCTGTTTTACTTGTAAAATCTCACTATCCTCTTGATTATTGCAGCGGTGCTACCAGTATCACACTGGTGTGCACTTTACACTTCATGGTGAATATTATCTGAATCAGTGAATCATATGAGATCTTGTTTTTTGATAGATGGGTTCATCCAAAAACTCGTCCAGCAGACAATCAGAGGTAAAATCAAAGTTCTTTATCAACATTATTATGAGAAAAAAAAAACATAGGATATATGATTTAGTGAAATGTTTTTAATGCCTGGCGTTATTTTGTGGTATGTGGGCCCCCAAACGGTAGCTTCGCTGTAACCCCCCACCTCAACTTATCATTTCCTATAAGTCTGAGCTGACCACCAACTTACATTATTTATACACCGTCACAGTTTCGACCTGTTTTTCTTCCTGTCAAACAAATACCAACTCCTACTTCCTGCTAATTCTTTTATGCGTGCAAAATTATTTAGAATTGGTCTTAAAAGCTGAGAAAAAAATGAAATAATCTGTACCCAAATTTAAAGGAGGATCTAAATACGTTTTATCACAGTTAACAAAATGATTGTCATGAAGTGCACTTGTTAACTCCTTTGAACTGTTTCCATCTGGCAGAAGCAGCCTGCTGAGGGAGGCATCTATGCGGTGAGACTTCTCGTTCTAGTGCTTAAAAAGACATTTAAAATGACACATGACTGAAAAGTGATAGCTTACCACACAGCCGATGGAAAAGGACTATCGGGTTTTTTTTTTCTTCTTTAAATTCACCTACCTGGCTGTCAGAGACAAAAAGAACTCTCATTTAGACTCAGTACAGTAAATGCTTGCAGTATTGTAGAAACCTAGACTCACGTGTCACTTTATTAGGTACAGCTGCACAACTGTATGCACTTCAATGCAACACTTCCGCTTTAACATCTGTGTTGATGAAGCTCAACATGTTTCAGTTTTTGGGTGAAATTGTCATAAATATATAAATGTGTTGTACTGGACTACATTATATTCAGAGGTGTTTCTGTATTTTTGTCCTCCCCAGCTACATAAATGAGAGGGTCAGAATATTAGGAACACCTCTGAATATAACGTAGTCCAGTACAACACCACCTTTAACTATGAACTCAATAATAAACATATAATTGAATGTATACATTTATGACAATTTTGCCAACATTTTGAGCTTCATAAACACAAATGTTAAGGTGGAGGTGCATACAATTGTACAGGTGTACCTGTTAAAATGGGCAGTGAGTGTATTATTACTTTTTGAATCAGGTGTTTTTGTATCTATTTTATTTATTTATAAGTATTTTATTTTTATTTTCCTAATGCACATCCCTTTATGTTGTTCGTGCACTCTTTTTTTTTTTAACTTCTCTCAGTCTTATCTTGTTTACTTGCCTACTTGTTGCCTTACAAAAGAGCATTCTACATACATGCACATTGAGAGCCGTTGTACCGGAGTCAAATTCTTCTTGTGTCCGGTGCACCTGGCCAGTAAAGCTGATGCTGATTCTGATTCTAATTCTGATCTCAATATCATCATGTGTGTCTGTCTGTGTGCTGTAGGGTCTGTCCAGTCAGAGCACTGACACCTATGAGACCATCAAAGTCGATAAAAAGCCTATGGTGTGAAGGAGACTCGTGCAGAGAAGATGCTGAGAACACACACATGTTGAATCTTTCACATCTTTATACTGTATATTAAGTTGTGTTGACTTGTCGCGGGCCTGTGCATAGAATTTCTATATATATTTTCAACATATGTTTGTAAAGTTACTTCTTTTCTTCTTACACTTTCTGCCGTGTATGCATAAAATGTCCAAACCATGAGATTTATTTAACAATTTACTCATAAAAGTTATGTGAGTCTTCACTTCATTCCGCTCTGTTTTTCATATCAGGTTTTACTCAAGTTACTAAGAAAACAGAAGTTTAAATTTATCTTTGTTTCTGCTCACATGTTCCTGTTTTGGTAAGGATCATGCTTACTGCACTTCATGTGAAAGAAAGGTCCTGTCAGAAAATGTCGAAAAATGCCTGTCACACTTTCAGAAAGTCCAAGGGGGGTATCGGGGGTCCAAACTCTAAAGAACCTGGCTGTTTTCAGTGATATGAAACAGCTCATTTATGAATTAACAGACTTATAAGCTTGATTCCTGCAAAATAAACATTACATTTAACAAGAACCAAAGGAGCTCAGAGAGTTCAGTTTGGCCATCCAGACAGTAAATACGACCTCTGTTAGCTTATCTGAAGAATGTGCATGCGTAACAGAAAACTACAACAGCTGTAGCACCACAGGGCAACCGCATACTTTCTTGGCAAAAGCCTGTATCATTCCACCTGTATGACAAATGAACACCACCCAGACTTTCACCTACTAATTTTATAGGCAGATAATTGGAAATGTATTCAGAACGGATTGTTCACAGTCTGCACTGTTGCTTCACATCAACACTAGCGACTGGCACTGAGGATTCAATTTCAGACGCAGTTAACTGTTACAACACACCTCACCCTGTAAACAAAAAATGTCTGTAACTATTTACGGTAACAGTGAGAGAGCATTAACAACTGCTTGAGGAAATTCAAGTCTAACTTTAACTCCTATTTATACTGAGTCAGTGCAACAGAGAAGTTTCACTTCAACATGCTGTATATTTTTGAAATTTTGATAAAGACCTCATTCATTTGTCATCATCTCAAACAGCTACTGTTGTAGCTACTGTTGCTACTTGTCTGGGGTTGTAGCTGCAGGCCATTGTGAGCTAACAATAAGTCAGCAGATAAACAGCTGAAACAACAGGAGCGTCTTCCTGACAGAGATTAACAGGTTGTTTTGGAAAATCTCTGTGTACCAGAATTTCACACGAATTATGCTGCATTCCTTTTCTCCTGGGAAATGACAGCTTTAATCAGTGTCACCAAAATTGGTTATTACACAGTGATGAAAAAAAAGGAAAACTATTAAGTAAGGATTTATTTATCATTGGAGTTCATACATAAAACTAAAATACTAACCTATACTGCACAGGTCTTAAGACAAACTGTTGATCACTATACAATAATTGGGCCATAGCATCCAAAACTTTGCTCAATTATGTTTTTGCTTTTGAAATGTCCAAATTAGAGCTAATAGACATCATTGCTGAATAAAAATAATTGGAAATCTAAGGGCGATTCTTTCTTGAGATACAATAATGCAAAATGAACATGCTTTGGTAAGAAATGTTTAATGAATAATTTTAAATCACATTTATAAGGCCTATATGTTTATAGTGAACTACTTACAAGTCAGCTTTACACCCCTGCAGTGTTTGTTATATTGCACTCTATGTAACCATGTAACCTAGACTGTTATTTTATTTATTTTTAATTTTTTTCTCTTATTCTTTTGTTCTGTTTCTCTCTGTTAAGTACTTTGATTCAGCTATCAGGAGCTATAAAGTTGAGCCGAGTGGTTGTGTTAAGTTGACTTTGTTTAAATATCATTAAATTATGTTATGAAAATGCTGCCCGCACACTGTTTTGTTTTTCAGGTGTAATACAACGAACTCGGGTGCAGAATTGTCAACACACACATGTCCGACTTTATTCAGCATTACTTAAACGCACCATTGAATGGGTGTGTCTAGCTGGCAAAGTGGGCGGAGCTAGGACACAGGTGAGGCTCCACCATGGGGTTTAGATGTTTGTGGCTGTGCGTGACAAACGGATCGCTTTCTGTTCGCTGAAACTTTTGGTTTCTCTGAATTCAGAGATAACTTTATTTGCTGGGTCGTTCCGCCTGGTGCTGCAGAGACTCTGGCTCGCACTGGAAATGAAGTGTACAACCTGCACTGAACAACATCCAGGTGCTATGAGTGGGCAACGGTGGAGGGTTTTTCTTTTTTAAACAGCGTATGCGAGTGGGTGAGGAAACACCTGTTGCACCTGTGTACCTGCGGCGAGCTCCTCACTACTTGGACTGAGATCCCTGTCTGAACTCAATGTCGAGAAGGAAGTGAATTAGGACCAGGTTTTTTTCTGGACTGGAGATGGAGTTGGCGGAGCAAAGGGCAACGTGTCTGGCACTGCTTTTTCTAGTTGGTGAGTTTTGTGTTGCATTAATTTAGAAGACACCGGGACTCTTTTACAGAGGTGATTACTGTGATTTGTGGACCCCTGTTGTCATTTGTTAAACTGAAGATCCAGAAATTCAACCTGACTTTACTAGATGTGTCCTTATTTTCCTGCAAATAAAGGCCCAGACATTAAACATGATGCTTCTTTAGTACAGTGTACAGCCATGTTCACTGTTCCATTAGTCCGGGGGTTTTATGGTAATGTCTAGGCCTCTTGGTTCCAGTGAAGTGAGACGTTAGTTTGGCAGCATACAGTGATATGTGGTGATGCTCAGACCAGTGTTTCCCAGGTTGGTAAGAACCCCACAATGGGTTCACAAGATAAGTTTAGGGGTCACGAGATGCTTTTTTTTCCTTGTGATTTTACCACTTCATGCCTCAAAAAACAACAAAAAACTAAGAAACTCATAGTGGTTGAACTGTGGTATCTTGTGTTTATACAACCTGACCCCGTCCAGCACCTTTGGGCTGAACTGGAACTCCAGCTTCAGTCGGACCACACTAATGCTGTTGTGGCTAAATGTAAGCCGACAGCCAGGTTCCAAATTCTTGTGGAAAACCAACAACCACATATGGGTGTAATGCTCAGACATCTACGTACTTCTGATCAAGCAGTTTGTCACTTTAGGTGTGGAGACACAAGCAGCATAACAGAATGTGGCCCAGTCACATTCTCACTTTTCGTAAATGTGAATCAGTACTTCTTGCCCAACCTTCCTCATTTTGTGACTAACTCTGTCAATACCCTTGCTGCTTTTGTTTCCTTCTTTAGTGGAGACCAAACTGTGACAACACAGGAACACTGTGCTGTTCGAATTAAAAGAGCAGATGGTTATATTAGACTGTTATTTTTACATGCAGCCACGGGTGTGATAATGTTTCCACCATGTTCAGTGAACAGGAAAAGCTTGACTAGCAGCCTTGTGATGTTCAGGTGAACAGTGTTTGTTTAACAGTGTGTGCGTGTTTAACTCTTTCTCTCAGTTTGACTTTTTTTTATTTTTTATCTTTGGCCACTTCTCTTTGCCTTCCTCTGTCTCTCCCCTCTTTTTTTTTACCATTATTGGCATGAGTAATCAAGGCTGACAGGATTTAACTCTATCTTTTTATTTCTCCTCCAAAGCTTGGCCATTTACACTGTAGTTCTTTGTTGACCAGATGTAAACCTGAGGACACCTATTTCCCCTCTTCTCTGTTCAATGTGTCCTTGGATTGACTGTGTGGGATTTTATCTGTGGGACTCACAGCTTCTGTGTAATCATTAATTTAACTCATGAATCAGTAACTGCAGGTAAAAAAGCCTGTTCACCCCAGAAATCAAAGGGCAGCTGTTTGATTTTTCCCATTTTTCTTTGTCTTGTTGCTTGATAAATGACTATTAATGATGAACCATATCATTTTCTGTCTCATCAGTTATGATCATCTTATCATTTTGATGTTAAACTCAGACTGACACTGTCACTGAATGTGTGAAAGCCATACCACATAAACTACCAGAAGAGTAACGAATGCATTTTACATTGTTGTTGAAAATACTATTTTTTGTTTAATATTTGGTTCATAAATGATCAAATTAACAGTGACTAAAGTGTTAATTTAAAATTTTTTGCCCATCTCATTAGCAGCCAGAGAATAGGCTCTTATTTTGATCTTAAGCAGGAAAGTTTTGGGGCTTTTATTTGTTAATTGACCAGAAGTTAATTATCATAAATACATTTGATTATTTTTCTGACAATTGATCTTTCAGTCAACGGTCTAATGGCTTAAACACTTGGCAGCACTCTCCACAAACGGCTCTTTTTGGTGAAACCCTCTCTCTTTCTCTGCCTGCTCAGTGGCCTGTGTACAGGGGGACTTTGGGGACTTTGTGGAGCCTTCTCAGCTCCACACCTCACTCCTGTCTCTGGCAGAAAGTCAGACCAAGCTCCCCTGCCACTACCAGGCACAGGAGGGGCAAAAGGTGGTGCAAGTCAGCTGGTACAAGGAGCTCCCAGATGGCAGCAAGGACCAGATCATCACCGCCCACTTCAAAGAGGGCCACACAGGTAGTGTACTGTGATGTGTTAACAGTGAATGGAAACGGTTCTTCTCAAACTTTTCTAAGAGATGAAGCATCTTCAGGGTCTGAGATGAGTTGTATGCTTCATATTTTGTAACTATGAAACTTACACAGGTGTTCATTTTGTACCACAGCCATGGTGAGTGACATCAGAGCATCTCCCCTCAGTGAAGTCAGGGTGTATGAAATCGGTTTGAGTCTCCCACTTTCAGTTCTGACTTCGAGGGTTGTTCTGTCATGCTTTTTCAAGTGGGAGGTTGCCCGTGAGCGTGGAAAGCAGCCTTATGTAGGCTTTGTAAGGCTTGTTTACTGGGACACTTAAATGGAACTATGCCCTTTCCCTGCTGTGACAAGCCACAATGTCTTTTGTTTAAAAGGTCTCTAGGTTGGAGCTGGGCTTTTTATTTACAGTGGCTCGTGGTTGTGAACTGGTCGACAAGAGGTCAGAGACACTAGGTTAGGGTCAGGAGATTAGAGACATAAACCACCTCCTCCTTGAATAGACAACTACTGTTCAGGTGTTTTGGGTTCAAAGGCGCCGAGGCCTTCAGCTGCTCCAGTAGACTATGACTCTACTGGGAAGCGTAGGTGTGGTTGTGTTGCCTTAGGAGTATTTGCTTATACAGTCATCTGCACAGAACTTTATATTTCAGAGAGCTTTTAAGTAACCCATCTGTAGTTTCTGAAGCTTCACGCTGTCAGCTAAACGTTCTCCTTCTCAGCAGCGACACAGACTGTAACTACCTGCTGCGGCAAAGTGTACGTGCGGCGTCATGCCAGCGGCACACTGGGACTTCATTATCCTAAAATGACAGCTATTTCAAATAGTGCAACAAAATGGAATCGTATAGCAGCTGTTATACACACGATGATAAATCAGGTTTGGCTTCTGTTACAATAACCTGAGTTCAAACTCAGATTATTTTATTCAGAATTTCACAGATTTGTTTGCTTGAAGAAAATTTAAGGATTATCTCTGGTGCGTGCGTTGGTTATCAGTTGACGGCTGCCCAGCCCATTGTTATTATTTCTTATTAATTTATATAAAAGACATACCCTTTGTAAGATTCCTTGAGGCAATACATGTTCAAGGACTAAAAGAAGAAAAGATATAACTGAGAGAAAACCAAAAGATTCTTCTTGTTTTTGACTCTGTAAACCGGGCTGTTTTACACTTGACCATGCTTCACACTACAGTGTATCTGAACTGTGATCATAACAGGAGACTGTATAGTGCATGTTGAGTGTCTGTCCGTGTTTATCCGGAACATCTCTGGATTAAAAACAGGCTAATTTTGCCAGTGTCTAACCACTTAGTTTCTTTTCTTGGAGTTAATGTTTTGACCAAGAGAGAATGTTATTGGTAAAATATAGTTTTCTACCTGTAAAAGATGAAGGACCTATGTATATCTGTACTCAGCTGAAATCTTTTTGCTTTGGATTTCAGAGTTTGGGCGTTACTCTGGCCGTGTGAGGTTCGAGAGCAGCAGCCCCACTGACAACTCCGCTCTGCTCATCCCCAACACCGAGGACTCGGACGAGGGCAGCTACACCTGCCACATTTCCACCTTCCCATATGGAAACTTTGAGCGGCACATCCAGCTCACTGTTTGGAGTAAGACTCCTCCTCATCCTCCTCTCTTTCTCTTATCTCTACCATACCTTCCTAATCCTATCACAGCTGCTGTAATGCCGTTTAAAACCATAAACATCTTCATAGAAGAAGAAGAGCTGCTAACCACGGGGGAACCACACATTTTTGAAACAGCTTGTGCTTATTAAATTTATTCCTTGTAACACAACATGAAAAATGCAAAAAATGTAAGTTAAAAATATATCCAGCCGAGTGGGTCTGCTTATATCAAAAACAGATTATCTTAATGGGTGTAAAAGGCTGTTTTTTGATTCAGCAGCCCAATAGAAGAGGGAAGTTGGTTTGATTGAGGTTTTGATAAGTTTCCAAGTCAGTATTTTTGATTATAGCCCAAAATTACAAATTTAGCAAAAAAATAAATAAATAAATAAAATGGAGAACTCTCAGGAAGAGCAGCAGATCAGGACAGCAATGAGTATTTGAGTATTTTCATTTTGTGATACTTCATACTTTGACTTTACTACATTTTAGAGGCAAATATTGTACTTTTTTCTCCAGTATGGTTATTTTATAACTTCAGTTAGCTACTAGTTGCTTTTCAAAAACAGATTAATAGAAAAATACAGTATAATCATAAGACTTTAGATATTCTGATGCCAATACTTTTGTACTTAAGTAACATAAGTAAACATAAGTATTTTACACTTGCGTTTAAGTCAGGGATCTGATTACTTCTTCCACCCCTGAATGAAAGTATACAGAGGAGATAGAAATAACAAAACTAAAGCTAGTGAAAAAGTGGTAAGTAAACAGTTGAAATCATTCAAGATCTTTTTTTTTTTTTTTTTAACCCTCAGGGACACACTCTGTGTATTTTGGTGAGAACTGGATTTAACTAGAAACTTCACCTTTAAATCCTTTAACACAGCTGATGAAAACAAAAAACCCAAGATGCTGGTTCAGTATCAGATACAGAAAACCTTGAAATAAGCTGTTTTTGCAGTGCAGGCATTGTCAGCAGGTGCTGGATGGATTCTCCTTGGAGTAAAACCTGGAGCGATGTTTCATCAAAATGACTTTTCCCGTTTTGCTGGTAGTTCTCAGCGGTGACAGTTCAGTCGTAAGCCTGTTCCGACACGCCGCACAAGACAAACAACAGACACTTACACACAAGTAACTGACAACCTGCAGCACTAAATTCCCTCACTTTTATAAATCATAAACATTCAAACCTAAAATGTTAAATTTGCATTTAAATACACATCGCTCTCCATGTATTATTAAAACCTACAAGCCTGTGCAAGTTTGTGCCTCATTTAACTAATTCCTAATTATCCTTTAAATGCATAAATAAGATAATATTGTTAAGTTGATGGGTTTAGTTTGAGAAGGTTGGGGAAGAACAAAATTAATACGATGTGATGAAATGGCTAGTAATGATTTTTATTTTAATAGTCTAGTTAGAAATCACCTTTAGTTTAACTGGTAGATCTTATTTGTACTTTTACTAAAAACAACACAGCCCTTTACATGTTTTTTCACCGGTGGTCTTTTTTTAGGAGTATGTTAACTTTACATGATTATTTTAATAATTTTAGGGATGAATGATGGTTGAGCTTCTCCGACCTTGTAGTGGACAGAGAGTGCAGGGAGGAAACCAAGCTGATACTGTAGAGGATTTTTGTACAAACCTAGGATTTTGAAAAGTGAGGTGAACACGTCATGTGGATCGTGACTTGTCCCTCAGACCTCACAGGAGGTCTGTTTTTCCTACAATCCTGTTTTGGCCAGTTCACAGATTTTTTTTTTTTTTTTTTTTTTTTAATTGGGATTTGGGTGAAGTGGGGCTTATTCACCGAGCTGCTGTGAGTCATTGTCATTTGTCTTGTCTTGCACAAAGATGAAGTTATTCTTTGCAGCGTGCAGCAGGTCCTTCCCACAGATCACCTGCCCGTCAAATCTCTAGGCACTACTGTGACGTTATGTTGTTTTGGGGTTTCTGTTTATAAAGTTTAGGTTTCCGCAGGTGGTGCCCTTTTCTTTGTCTGTTAATCCTTAATGGCTATTGTTGCTAAGCTAACTACCGGTTTTGTCTTCTGCATTAATCATTCAAACACCAGCAGAAAGCCTTACTGTACCGAGTGTTTACAGCAGCAAAGGTTTCATGACTGGGGTGTGAATCACAATCATGTCAAACCAGTTGGTGACAGAGAGCAGCAAAACAGAAATGTATTTATATGAAAATGTCACAGGTGACATCTGTACATATTGTTCTTTGTGTTCCAGGATGGTAAAGTTCATCAGATCTTCTTTTTTCAACCATATCTAATACTTTTGACCAATGATATCTTGAGGATCTTGTTGCTCGTGCTTGTCCCTGACAGTCGCTTACTCAAAGATGCAAAACATTTAGGGAAATCTTGTTTAACCAATCTAATTAGATAATTTTAGGTAAGGACAAATTAGCCTTTAGCTGGCTTTGGAAAGTATTAATTAAATCTCAATGCATAACTACCCAAGATTATAGGGAAGGTGCATTACACAAAGACTTTTAAACATTATTGTTGTAGTTTCAATAAGCAGACACATAAATCAGATCTGAAAGATTGGGACAATCCACAAAATGAAAACACAATGTGGTATGATATGATGCAGTGTGATTAAATCACGTCACAGAATAGGTTCTAAGTCACAGGAACAAACCAAAAATATCAATAATTACAAGATTAAGAAAATATCTTCTATTTAAAGAGAAAATAAATTGTGCGTTCCACTAATTGTCGTCTGTTGATTTACCTGCACATGTTTAAAAGAAGACATTAAGTTAATGCCTTCATTTCTGTAATGGTTTTATCCACACAAATAGGAAAAGTAATATACTGGAATGAAAGGAAACAGTCACTGAATATGTATGTTGATTTTGTTTTTTGTTTTGTTTTTGTTTTTTTGTTTATTTAAAAATATAATGCAGCAGTTTTACAATGCAAAGTTAGAAGGTGGTTTATATGAGAAAATTAAGGTTCAAACACTTCGGCTAAAAAGGGTAAATAAAAGAAAAGTAAATGAAACAAACTAAATGAATAAAACACCGGAAATCCTAAACTCACCCTGTTCCTTCTCCTCTTCTGTTAGCTTTACCCATCTCCTCCCTGGAGCCTGTAGACCTGGTGGAGGGCCAATCGTTCCGCATAGCTGCCACCTGTCGAGCAGTGGGTCGCCCGGTTCCTCGTCTCTCCTGGGACACCGACTTGCCGGGCCAGTCCCAGAACCGTACCAGTGAGGGTGGGTCTGTGTCCAGCTACTATTCCCTGCATCCGCTCCGTAGCATGAATGGGAAAAAGCTGGACTGTTTGGTGTGGCACCCTGGGCTGGCGGAGCCACGCAGGATCTCAAACCGCCTGGTGGTTCAGTGTGAGTACAGCTGGGGATGATGACAGTGATGAGAACAACAGATGTAGAGAACTAAGTTTACAGGTAGAGTCGCATAAATAATCTCTCCAATCTGACTGAAACTTGAATAACTTAGGGGACACTGGCCGACAGCAGACATGTTTTTATTCCATGCTACATACTAATTGTACACTGTATGTTAAAGTAGTGTACTGTTTCATAATTAAAATACAAACCCATGATATACCCCCCCACCCCCATTTGTTACTAGCTGTATTATATGATGCTCATACAGTGAACATGCTAACTGCTCAAAACGTATACGTTCTCTACACCTGAACATCTTTTTATTGCATCAGTTTAACAGAACAACTGTCAGACTTGGAAGAGATGATCTTATACACTACTAAAAATAAATAACTAAAATTAAAAGGAAAAATGACACAAAGATACTTATACTCACTCATAGATGCACACAGTAGTTCTGGCAGGTGGTGCCCATCTCCATAAAGATTTATTTTTAGTTGAAACTCTGCTGTTATATTTTACTTTCTCTCCACTGTTCACTATTTGGTGGTTGCAACTTTAACCTGGAGACAGTTTTGCTATTAAAAGCAAAATTCTCCAATGATTACCTGGAATGTTATCAGGTATGATACGAAGAAAAAAAAGAAATGCTGACGTCAGAGTCAAAATAGCACCTCAGATTATTTTAATCTCTTTTAAAAACATTATGCCGATACTGTAGGAGTTTTGGGCAGACCAAAAAAAAAAAAAAAAAGTCCCCTACCAAACTGCGAACAGAGTCATATTAATCATTACATTTTTAAAATGTATATAAAACTACTTCTGTTGACACTCCTGTCTTGGTTGGCTTGGCGGTGTTGGCACGAGTTTAAGGGCTACCCTTAATGACTGTGTTTGATTTTAGGTGTGTCAGTGAAGACACCATGCCAATGACTTGGCATGTACATGGAATGCAGCTATTATTATAAGCTAACTGTCAGCAGTAAAATAGATATGGAACAACCTACAGGACAATAATGTTTTTAGTCATGACTGTGGTATGTAGGGCTTTGTAAGGTTACTGGCGTGCAGACTTACCTAGCTAAACTAGAGCTACTTTCCACTTGGCTACCTGTCTAACCCATCTTGCATTAGGGATTATTCCATTAAAGGAAAGTAACGCTCATCACGGTTTCTGCATTTATTTCTACTGCCTTGTGTCCATTTTGGAGGCGCGTTCTGGGAGCTAAATCTCAGCACCATCTCGGGAGGCAGCACTAAAATCAAGTTCCAGGAATGCGGGGGGTGCCCGTGTGCAGAGCAGTCTGTGATAATTGGTTAAATGTGTGAAGACCAGACATTTCACACATTAATCATCAGCGTTACAAAGACTGCGTAAAGAGACACTTCTACTCGGTGCTTAATTTGTAAATTATGAGGTACCGGTATATCACCTGGCGACTGACCCGGCATGTGAATGTAGACAGAGCAGGTCCCGAAATGGAAAAACTGCCTCAATGACCATTGCGTTTGAATAGTTTCCACATTAAGGGAGCAGCTTGGAGGTAAAACATTATTTGTTGTGTTTCTGTAGCAACCAAAAAAAAAAAAAATCACATTAGAAGACGCACATTTGCAAGTGTGAGTTATAAATGTTGAGCACAACTGATACTAAATACGTTAGGACTGCAAGGCTATGGCCTCTAATCCATTCAGTCAGTAGGAAACCTGACATCATGTCTGGGGCCTTATTACTCCACTGTACATTAACGTTATAACAGCAAATTTAAATGTAGGTCAGAAATAAGAATATACAGCAGTTTCCTTTATATTATTAATGTGCTTTTGTTTTATTTGAGCTTTATGGAGTTTATTTTTTTTACTTTTTCAGCTGTGAGTACCACTTCCATTTCCTTTTTTGCTCGGCATTGTGGGACAATCATGTACATCAACAGCACACTTAATAATAAAGCAGTTTTGACATGCAGACTGAGATACTGCTTACTCAAAACCTACTTAAAATTAGTGTGTAGTATCGACTATGGGCTGGCCTATTAGCTTTTCCCATCCAGTTTCCCTGAGAGAGATATTTGTTTGGCTTAACCTTGTGTCTGTGAAAATAAATGGGTGACAGTGGACTAAACATTAGACAGTATTGGCAGGCCAGATCCTTTCTGAGAAAGTGTTTGATTAACATTCTGTCCCCTTCATGTTGATGACATTGGGGTGAAGTCACTTAAACTTTATTTTTTTTTTATTTGTAAGTCGATGCTGAACGATTGTTCACAACGCTGACTTGTCAAATGACTTAGACTGAGTCATGAGTTTGACGACTTCAGACTTGACACAACAAAAATGACTTGCAGTTAAACTTTGGCCACTGACCTCTGATTTTGCCACACTTCACTTTTGACTTGGAATGATTTGACATCATCTCCAAATCCAAGATTATAATGTATAAAAAAGTGTGCAGATATTCAGTATCCTGACAACACATAATTTTTGACTAATTCAGGCAGCAGCTGCTCACATTTTGCAAGTGTATGTGGAAACCAGCACACACAAAAGTCGATACCTTAGATTGTCATAATGAGATGTAAAGACTGCTGTCATCAGCAGAAATCACAGTACACGCACATGTACTTGGAATTGTGTCAATGGAATAACATACTGTACTGAAACACTCCACATCAGTTGGCTTTTATATGTTCAGTTGGAAATAACACGGTAAATGCACATTTTAAAAAGTAAGTTTTTCTGTTAATTTCACATGCTGGCCTTTCCTGTTAAACCTTATCGATTAGTGTAGGACTTAGAAAAACAACATTTTTGGTTTTGGCACTTCCAGTTCTTGAGATTTGGTGACAAAATAATGAGTTGTAAAGTAGGAAGCTTCATCTTTGGATAAATGAAAACAAACACCAGCAACATGTATTGTTTTCAGCGTGAACAGATTTCTTTAAATGCCCATCTCTGCTGTTTTTTTCTCTTTATCTCTTTGCAGTATGTGAGTGAATATTTTGTGCTGCTGCGTGCTTATGTCTCTGTTTGTGTGTCAGACCCCCCAGATGCCACCATTTCATCTCGTTCAGGAGACTGGTATGTGGGATTGCAGAAGGCAGAGCTGCTCTGTGACAGTGGAGGATACCCCAAACCTCAGAACATCACCTGGACATGGTACAGTCATCAGCCTGTGTGCTGCTCATGCGTATCTATGGTTTAACTCTGTCCGGCTGCCAGCAAGACTGTGACAATTAGACATGAATTCAGCCCACTGTAATTCTATCTCCCCTGAAAAATTGCTCTTTACACGGCACTGGAATGCAACTGAAAACGTACATAAGCCCCACCCCCCCCCCCCCCCGTCAATAACAAAGGGGGTGTGCTGGAATCCTAAGGAGGGGGCCTTTCTTTCCTGGCTCAATTCATTGTGGAATAAAAGCTATGGTGTTGTGTTGCACAATTTTAAAGTTGGAACGGGGGGGGGGATATTTTCACACAAGGGAGAGAGAGTGCAACACGAGGAAGAGCAGGAGACGCATGCTAAGCATTTAATCATAGTGCCATGCCTTAAATATCACTCTAATGCCCGGTAAAACACAGGGTCTGTACTTTAATTAGAGGCACTGTACCAGCTATTACAGCTACTACTGTAAACACAATGATCAAATGTGTGCTGAGTGCAAAATATTTTAGTCATGAGACAATCCCGAAATATTAAGATTATTCTGGATTAAACCTTTTCAATCTCACAGACCCTTTGGCGCATCCATCAGTGCAAACACATGCCATGTGAACAAGCACTGTTCAGAGCCAGAGAACAGGATCTTAAAGCAGCAGTAGTTTAACATTTTGGGAGATAGGGTTATTCCCTTTCTTGCTGAGAATTAGATGAGAAGATTGATAAAATATGAAGCTACAGCTGATGCTCTGATCATCTGGTTTCATCTCATATTTATGGACAGTGGTATTACTCTTGCTGTCTAACTCTTAGCAACAAAGCAAATAAGCATATTTCACAAAACATCAGACTTGACAACAGACTTGTTTAAGGTTCAAATTAAAGTTTAGTGTAGTTTTCTCTCATTGCAAGCTCTTGGTTCCATTGCCTTGATAATATATTTTATGCACACGATCTTTCAGCTTCTGACAGTGGATTATTCTGTTTTCAGCCATCTGCTCTGTCAGATGCAAACTCCACCCCTAATCCTATTATTAAGGGTTGAGTAGAGAACCTAGGTGGAGTTTTGAGGAATGAAACCTGAACTGGCTCCAGTTTGGGGGGTAAAGCAGCACATTTGTAGCACAGTGAAACTAAAGGCAACATGACCCCTCTCAGTGGACCTGATCAGAAACTGGCTCTCCATTATGTGGCCTGTGATGTCTTCAGCTGCACACTGTGGGACTCACTTACTGGACTTTAAATCCCACAAACCTACTATTTAGTTCCTCTGGTCAGATCAATGGGCGCCACTTGTAAGCCCAGCAGGTTTTGTTTCAGGTGCATGCAAATTGGTGGTTACACTCTGGTGAATCTGATCATGTGTAGTGTTCATTTAGTTAAATCGCTTCCTTGATGCACCCCGGTTGCTGCATTTCGTACTGTTGCTTCCTGCTCTTGGCACAAATAGTTACTTTAAACTGGAATTCAGGTTTGCATTTAAGTCATTTCTCAGTTACCACAATGAGTCACAGTTATTGTTTCTGTGTGTTATCTCTTTGCCACATCTATGTGAATTAATGGTGACATTTTCATGTGATTGTCCACAGGAAAGGAGGCGCTCTGCCAGATGGGGTATCTGTGGTAGGAGGAAAACTTGTTTTTGAGCGGCCCGTGCGTATGAATGACAGTGGGGCTTATGAATGTTTCGTCAAGAACAACGTGGGAGTAGATAAAACCGAGTATATGCTGAGAATAGCAGGTATGTGCCAGGAGCCTCAGTGTTGCTACAGGTTAAAATCACTCAGGATTGAAATGAGAAATCATCCTGCCACTGTATGTTTTTTGTTGTTTTTTTTTTTAATTTTTTTAGCAGGAAGAAATGAGTGGATGGATACTTGGAATCATAAGACCAGTTGAGTTTAGAACAAAACCAAGATACTGAGCTAATTCCTTTTTGATTGGGAGTAATTGTGGTACCCTGCTGCCCCCTTGTGATGAACAGAGGGCAAGAACGGATGTTTTTAAACTCAAATGAGGATCGAAATAGCTCATTCTGAAAGACTGAAAGATGTCACAGTGTCTGTGTGAATGTGTGTACATGCATCAGCGTTTGTCTTCCTCATTGTTCTTTCAGAGACATCTCCACGCAAGGGCGGCTTCTTTGAGGATAACCTGTTGGCGATCATTATTGGTGCTGCAGCTGCAGCTTTGGTTGTGGCCCTGGTCATTATCATCCTGCTGGTCAACCACTACCATCGGCACAGAAACAAAAAGCTTGAGATGGAGCTCAGTGAAAAAGCGTGAGCTGGCCCATATTTTCTTGAAAAAATGGGAAAGTGCAAAGACTTTTTAAGAACTTTAACTGTGATGAGAACTGTTAATGTTTAGGTTGTCTACATATTTTTTACACTTTATTTTTAAACCCCAGGATGGAAATTAACAACCTCTCCAGACAACCATCTTTCAGGAGACTGAACTCCGTCAGCACAGACCCCAGAGTGCCGGTACAGACACACACACAGACACACACACACTATACTCTTGGTGCTGAGAACAGTGACCTGCAGGGCTGAGAGAAACCGGGTCTGGGGTTGTGCGTAGCTGAGGTGGAGCTGATGACTACAGGCTGTTGCAGCTCCAAACTAATAGCTGAGAGACACATGCTGTATCATTAGTATTTCATTCTGGGTGATTGTAGTTTTTAAAAATCTTTTGTGCTGATCTTCACTCTCTCACGTTCTCTGTGCTTCCCAGAGTGAAGATTATGCTGCGCTCAGAGTAGACAGCAGAATGAAAAACAGCCAAATGTCTCTGGTGAGTTCCTCACTGGAAATACTTGCTGATATCCTGTGATTGTTGTCAGTAAACAGCATACACAGACAGAAAGACAGAAATATAGACACGTGTTTCTACAAAGGCCCCTGAATGGAATCAAGCATGTTATAGTCATATAATTTTAGTCTTAAGTCAAACCGGCAGCCTTTTAAACTTTTATACACCTATAATAAAGAACAACGATGATCCTTTCATTATGGTTATATCTATTTTATGTTTGCTGATATCAGAGGGCAATATTGGCTAAGGTCTGGTGAAATGACAGTAGAGTATATAGTATGTGATGATTTAATTCCACATTATTTATTCCTTTAATGATCTCACATCAGTTTCTGTCACCAGCTGGCACCAGCTTTCATGAAGAAAGAGTTTTACAGTCACATGCTTATTGTTTAGAAGAGGCCTTTAAGACCATAAATAGCTGCTGCCGTTGTTGTGACTGGGCCATCTGCCCACCTGCAGGAGCGACCCAACTACAGAGGCAGCCAGTCAACTCTGGGTGGCAAGTGGGGGCCTCCTGGAGGGGTGGAGGTGGATGAACTGGGACGTCCCGTCGTCTGGAATGATGGCAGGGAGAGTCCGAGAGGGGCAGAGATGGATGGAGAGAAGGACGAGCGCAGGAGGAGGGTGGAGTCGTACCTGAAAAGCAGCAACATGTCTCTGGTATGTGTTGGCATCTGAGAGATTAGGTTGAAATGTATTCAGTTTCGTTTGCAGTGTGTCACACGGTGTTGCGTTTCATTTACTGATTCATATGCATCGTCCTGTCAGAGACTTGTCATGAAGACAGCAAAACAAAAAAGAGCCAAGAGCAACAAAGAAGAATTGGAAATGCATGATACTGTATAGCTGTATTATAACAGACTGTGTCTAGGCAGTTCTGTCCCTTTCAAAGTATCAAATTTGACATAATTTATGTAAAAAATGTAGTGTAACTGGAGAACTGTAAGCATGTGGTTTCAGCTTGGTGCTACCTTTTTGCATTTTTTTTTAAAATACAGTCCTGAGCAAACTCTAGATAATGTGTAACAACCTGATGTGGTTCTGATCTGACCACATGGCTGCTATCAGCACTGGCAAAATCCAGGAAAGTTTTTATTTCCTTTTTTGTGGAGCCAGTGGTGTATCCTCAACCATCTTGTTTCTCCTCTGAGTCAGTTTCAGTAGGGTGGTATGTGTGTTATGAGGTGCACCAGGATGTTTTAATAGCTGTTTAGAACAGTATTGTGTTTGTATATATAATACTGATGTTCACTTCCGTCAAACAGAAGCACACATACAGTTTCTTATAGGTTGTTAACATGTCATTCAATGTTTAGAGGTGATTTGTCCAAATAAGGATTTCTGTATTTTTTTCCCCTCAATGTTTGTCTTTGCCTGTGTTTAAAATGCTCTGTGCAGAAAAAGCTACCTTGCTTTGCCTTGTAAAAATGATTAGAGGTCAAATAATTGCCTTATCCAGCTCAGTTTCAGAAAAGTCTGATTTCCTGCCATGTGTTTCAGGACTCAGGTCTTCCTTCATCTCTGGTTCCCCTGAAGGCCCAGCAGGATGATGGTGTCGGCCCCAGAGAGCCAGACCTGGGCCATCCCAGCGAAGGAGACTCTCCACGCGTTGAGGACTGGACTCCCGCCCTGTCAGGGGAGGGAGGACAGGAGGACGACGACAGCAGCAACTCCTATCAGATCTCTGAGGCACTCAACAACCACTTCTACTACAGTAACGGGCTCCTCAGGCCCAAGCCACACTCCAATGCCATTCTGCTCCAGCCCAGAACACAGGTGGTCTAGACTGTAGACTCTCATCCACATCATGTGAAGACAGTGTCTGTCCACAGCCCATGTTGACAGGGACGTTATTCTTTGTAACTGGATGTTGGTTTTGTACATGCTGATTGTAGAGGGTAATGGGTTCAGACACTGATAATTTTTTGCCACTGGCTTGTCCAATTTTGATCCTTTATTCCAGGGGTGCCCACACTTTTTTGCCTTGCGAGCTACTTTTCAAAGGACCAAATCAAAATGATATAACTACAGATAGCCAGCCTAAAGCAGACTGGAGCAGTATTTGGACTTAATAATCTCCATGTGAGAAAATGCTGACACACATAAATAAGTAGAGTTTGGCGCACCTTGCATAACTGCATGAACATTAAGGCGCACTACAGTTCAGTACTTTCTTGGCCATTACTTTACTCTGATGACTTGCACTGAATGGAATCAGCCAGGGCCTCAGAGTCCGGACAGTAGCTGCTGGTAGCCAGCCTAAAGCAGACTGGAGCAGTATTTGGACTTAATAATCTCCATGTGAGAAAATGCTGACACACATAAATAAGTAGAGTCAAATAATGCAGTCAATGGCACATTTCCTCATGTTTGGGTACTTTTCCTCTGTAAGTTCCAAAACAGTCCATTAGCCCTGGACTTCAGCTGAATGTCAGTCTGTAGTGTCAATATCTCATCCTCCACTCCAGACCAGTTCAGGTGAAACAGCGTTGCAATTTTTGATGCGAGTGAATCAACCTCAATATCGTCCCTAAATGGGTAGCACATAAATGTAGAGACTGGCTGGAGTGAGGCAAGGTATTGAAAGCGTTTGTCAAACTCTGGACAGTTGTCAGTCTGCTTTGTGTAGCGCGCAATGTCAAGTTGCGCACATGCTTTCCGTTGCGTCTCCAGCTCTGATGCAAGGTTTTGGAAGTTCCCCAAAATGTTGCATTTTTGGTTTGAAACCATTAACTAAGCTCATTATATTGACACGGGATCTACAGACACTACCTTTGCGATCGGCTGGTCGATCACAATCGATGTATTGGGCAGCCCTGCTTTATTCAAACTCCATAGTAATTGGCAGTTTTTACATTATTTTTGGCAGTTATGCCTTTATGAGAGCCAACTGTGGCGAGATTACAAGAAATGAGGGGAGAGAGATGGTGAGTGACATTCAACAAAGGCCTCCAGTCAGACAGGAACCAGGGACGCTGCGGTTCATGGCCACAAGGATGTCATTCACAAGTTTTTATATGCTAATTATTTTAAAGATCAACTAATGGGGAATCAAGTACCTGGTGAGTTTTGCCTTTCACTGTTACTCCTTTATACAAGGAAGCCAGATTCCTGGTGTACAATGTTTACTGTATTTGCACATCCACTGATTCTGGTTAATTCCTGCTTATAAATACAGCAAAGTGAGTATGAATCCAGTCATCTTGTGTAAAAAAAACATTCAGGGAACAGTTTCTAAGCTCTAAGTCTGGGCCAAGTTAAGAGTAAACTGCACTAAGAACCCTGGTATATTTTTAGCTTTGAACCTGTGGATGAAAAGTTTGTACATTTATATAGTATGTGTTTGTATTATCTATGTGGAAGAGCTACTGTTTGTTTATGATGTCATTCACAGCACACACAAGGAAAATGGTCAAAACAACTGTTACCCTGAGGACCTGAACACAGGCATTTTAAAAAAAGTGGTGGCTATTCATAGATAAAATGTGAAACAGGCTCCTTTGACCAGGTTCAAAATGTATCTACATTCAGCTGAATGGACTGGATTAAAAGTACTGCAGCATCTTTCTGCATTAAAGCACTGCCGGTTGTGTGCTTACAAATACACATGTAGGTTGTTTTATATTCACTCAATGTTTTCTATGAAACTGAGAACTGTCTTGTAAATATTTAAATGTTTATTCATAAAAGTACACCGTATGCAATATTAAAAACAAAGTCACAAGGATGATTGCAGCTGCTGCAGAGTGCAGTCTGTAGTGATTTCTTGTTTAATGCTTGTTCTGACCTACTCGTTAGCTCAGTAATGACTAATAACTGAGACTGTGGATACAAGTAGACAAAGAAGTGCAACTAGTCTCGGCCTGTGTGACAGGGTGGTGAGTTCAGAGAACCTTGGTATCTCAGCAAACCTCTGAATTAAAGGAATATTTCTGCATTTTGGAAATACACTTATTTTGTTGGCAGGACTCTAAGAACACTGACACCTCTGTCATATCTGTAATTTAAATATACCCCTACAGCCAGGAGTCTGTTAGCTTACCTGGGGCTGGAACAGCCAACATGTCATATCTTGTTTGTTCAATCTGTATTATAAAATCAAGGTGTGGTTTTAAGTCACCTTTGATTTTGTCACCTTTGTATAGAGCTAGCTGTTCCCCCGGTTTCCAGTCCGTGTGCGAAGATGTTGCTTCATATTTGTTTCAAATGTATTCCTTTTAAAATATGACGACTCCGCTTAAAATGGAGAGTCGGCATGGAAGTACAACAGGCATGCATGACTGGAAGAAACACTGGTCTAGACCTAGGACAATCTACAAGAAGATCTGTATGGTTCACCTCAGGATCCCTTTGGAGAGCTTTAGAGGAAGTTACCGAAAGATATTAAGTCAAAAGGTGTTGTCTTATTAAGAATGTTCCTAACTGATCCATAAATATGTAAATGCTAAAAAGAAGAGCCCGAGTGCTCCTTTTCCTACTAGACACTCTTTGAAAAGGAAAGACACAATTTACATTGATAAAATGTATCTGTGGCCAACCTCACAAAACCTCCAGTTTCACTACTATTACAAGGAAAACAAATGTAATGGCTGTTACATACTGCTGTCGTGTGAGTTCAGTCTTCAAGTGCTGCGGTTGTATTTTGATGATCTCAAGTGGTGGAAGATTAGTTAGGAAATAAATGCTTGTGCTTATTCAAATCTAGATCTTAGCTGGTCTACGTACTCCAATTCTGTTAACCTGAAAATAGGACAACAGACAAGAACAAGGAACATCAGAGGGTCGACAATCAGCATACACACAGAGACCTGATCGCTTTCTGATCCACAACTCGCATCATCAAAAAGCCAGTTGTGTCTTTAACAATAACCTTTTGAAACCTATGGAAAAGTTATAACTTATCCAAAAAAGGTGTTCACATAATCACTCAGCTACATTATTTCATATCAATATCAAAATAATTAGAAAAATAATGTGGACATCAGTGTTTCCTACAGAATTACAGTGGATTCAGAAAGTATTCAGACCCCCTTCACTTTTTTTTCAATTTTGTTATGTTGCAGCTCAGCAACAATCAAGAGCATAGATTGTGGTATCAGGCTGCACCATAACAAAATTGAAAAAAGTGAAGGGGGTCTGAATAATCACCTTTAATCCACTATAGATTCTACTTGTGGAGGTAGCTGATGAGAGGGTGGGATGGGGTTGGAGTGCACATGCTTCCATGTTATTTACTTAAATACGGTAAAACTTTTATCACTGCATGGAAGAATAGAAATGAGGCCACTTTGCTGCTACATCTTTGTGTTTTGCTGTCCAACTGACCACTTGTTTCTGTACTGCACTTGACTGCCATCCTCCTCCTCCTCTCCTACATCCTTCTCTTCCTGACCCTCTCTTGCTGCTTCAGCAACACTGGCTGAAGTCTGGAAATATTTGTAAGAAATTAAATGGACTGCTAATCATACTGGTGGGTCTAATCACTGTGTGGGAAAGGCTGGGACATAAACGCAACAGAGGTGTTTCCAGCCTTTCTCAGTCTTCAAAATCAATTGAGTCAAACTGGATTCTGGGATAGAGCCTCTTTGTGAGTCCGCTGGTGAGTGCGAAGGTTACTCCTCTGAGAGAAACACTTGCCACATGTCTCGCATGTGTACGGTTTCTCTCCTGTGTGAATTCGCTGGTGAATTTCCAGATGGCTGACACGATCAAAGCTTTTCCCACAGAAGGGGCAGATGAACCATTTCTCCCTGATACGGCGACTCTCGATCGTTTTATGCAACTCTGGGTCGTTCAGGAGAAGGAATCTGCTGTCTGGGTTGAAAGCTGACATGTTTTTAGTTTGTTGTGTCTCTGAGAGGAATCTGACAGACACTCCTCTCTCTGGGTGATTTATTGCTTCTGTAGGTTGACTTGGTTGAACTTGGCTAAAAGTCACAGGAGCCCTTGACTTACTTGATGCACCTTGTCCAATATCCCTCATAAACCTGTCAGAGTAAGCTGACTCTGCTGAATTATCAAAAATATCCAAAGCATTTTGAATGAGCAGGATTTCTGAGTCCAGATTTTGTGACAGCTGCTTTGGTTCTAAACAGCAGTCTGAGTCATCAGCAGTGTCGCGATCTCCGATTAAAACAGGCGTCCACTGCTGGCTCTCTTGTTCTTCCACAACCTCAGCCGGCTGGTGGTTCAGCTCCATCTCCTCCTGACCTGCTCCATCAACACTGTGATCAGAGTCCACCATCTGTTCCACAATCTGGACGTCGTCCTCGTCTTCTAGCTTGACTATTAAGTCTTCATCATCTCTGTCACTTTCACAGAGGTTAGACTTGAGCTGCTCACACTGTTTCTCCTCTGTTTGAACAGGTGGTGGTGGTGGTAGTGGGGGTATGTGATTCGCTGAGGTGTCCACCACCTCCCTGGCACTCAGATCAGAACACAGTGTCTGGACTGAATCTATAATAGGTCCTGAAACAACAGAGGAGGCACATTTTAACCTTTAACTAGACAATTTCCTTGAAAAATAATTTAGAAACAGTTCTGCTTTGTGACTGAGATGCCAGCAATTCAGGTAATTTGTAATTTACATAAATGAGTCAATAAGTTGAAAACCAATTGTTAGTATGTAGGTCAATTCCTTAGGATAGATTTTAAAACATACATTGATTATTGTTATCCTTACCAATACCAGTAGGCGGCAGCAGCCTGTTCTGCTGCTCTCTCTTGGAAGAAGATACTGAGGACAGATTTGTAGTCTGAGCATGAGCCAGGACTGTTAGCCGCTCGTTTTCCATCAACATCAACTTTCTTTTCAACACTTCAACTTCACTCTCTCTCCGGCGAAGCTCGATCTGGATAAGAGCAAAGCCGTCCTCCCACAGTTTACTGATTTCTAACACGGCAGTTTTAGCTAGCATCTCCATGATCGAGGTTAATTTCCTCTGGAAAGCCACACAGTTGGCCATGTTGCCCAGGTTCGGTACCTCTGACTGCAACGACGTGGCAAACGTTTAGATAACTTTGTATGTGAGGGCAAAACACACGGTAATAACAGTTCTGTCGTTGCTTTTTACATTATAGCAGCTGAGGGTAAAAACATAGAAGTGGAAGAGTAACAGGAAACTGTCATAGTCACGTGACAGAAGATCTACGGTGCTGATGTTAGGACAACATTTCTCGACAAGAAAACCTGAATAAAAACAAACCAGGCATTGTGTGTGTGCAGGATGTAAACGATTAAGAAACTCTTACGTGATAAACACCAGCGTACGGAAGCGCATTGCCCTTACCAAATAAGAAATGGGAGGATCTTATCTCGTAATTATGCGATCCTTGTAATGCTGCACAGTTTTCCATATTAATTCAAAATCTGCAATTCCAAAGAGCAACTGACACAAGAAATCCGGAGATTTTTCTCTCGCTGTTCCCCAAAACGTAATCACAGAATATAATTTGCGGCAAACTGCCAATGGCCAACACATGGAAACAAATAGAACACCACTGCCTGGCAATATCTTGCTGTTGTGTGACATTTGTAGCTTTGCTGCCTCTTTGTGTCCACTAGATGAGGCTCTATTTCCATGAGAACACATAAAAGCTTAGCTCAAAACCAAAGTGCTGATGTGTGTGTGACAGGAGCCTATAATAAGATTTAAACCCACAAAAACATTCAATTAGTATTTGACCATTTTATTCAGTCTAGCATTCTTGCAAAGCTGTTTGTATCTTTTCAATATTTTTAGCTTTGTTCTGGCTTTTCTTTATATTTTCCTTATGTTACATTGCTGTATACATATATACATTTGCCATTTTACCTCCGATTCACAACAAATATTTCTTCCTTCGCTAAGCTTAGTGTAATTTTGGACCTGTGTCCAGGTCGACGACGGAGCTGTCAAACAGCAACAGGCGTCTGAAATATTGCCGAGGGCGGTACAAAAACATCGTACGCTACTCTTTTGTGGAACCAAGAGCGACAGACAACCGACTCTGAGTTCATTAAGAGAATTCAGCTTTTGCGGATGTGGACTTTTGAGCGGTCGCCACGAAAAACGTTGTGTTGTGTGTGTCAGTGGATGTCAGGCTAATGTCTGTTAGCTCTTTGCTTAGCTCGAGTTTTGTTGACAAACAAGCCCCTCAGCTAGTCACAGAGCTAACGCTAGCTGCATTACCAACTTTGGTGTTTCGGGGTTAGCTCGTCATTTTCGATAAGTACTTATAGGCAAAGACATGGAACCCAGCTTGGACTTCCCTTACAGACATCTCTCTAAAATAAAAACGGGTAAGTAAGCAGATTAACTAACAAGCAGTTAAAGCTCATGCTAGCTGAAGCGAGCTGTTTGTTTAACTTACATTTTGTCTTTAGTGTTCACTAACACGTTAATAGAATGTTGATCCGACTATTGATTCTTCCCCTAACTACCTCCATTGAATATGACAGGTTGTGTCAGCATGGACTTTTTAAATGTCTATGGAATAACGGGCAGTTTCTTTTACCCACGGTGCCCCATGGACTTTACTACTTTAAACCTTTGAAGAATGACAGGTATGCAGGGGCTCATATATCAACGCAGTTTGTCACAGTAGATTGTGGTCATATAAGAGATTGCCATTCACTTTTGTTGAATGTGACCTCACTCAAAACTTGATAAGCATTGCTTTTTTTTAGTGTGCAAGTCTCTGGGCTATGTAGCTCACAGGAAAATGGCCAGCAGACAGTTAAAATGCAAAATCGGTTTTGGCTTGAATAGTTAACATCACAGATTAGTAGACCTAGTTGATGGACCTTTACCTTGTTTTTAAAAATAGTGAGAATATATCAGGTTCTACTTCATTCTTGATGCTTTGTATGCTCACATACCCCTTGAATGTATCTTGCTCACTCTAACCCTAGCTGAAATACTGGTCATTATAACACTTATGTTTTCTTTATTTGCTAAGAACATTCTATTAGCCTGTAATCCACTGAACAAAACTGGATAGTGTTCAGGCTCCCAAACTACTGTTAAACCATTGGCCCCAAGCTGCTTTGGAGATGTACCATCTGTTTTGGAGTAGCAGGCCGCATTTTACAGACCAAAAAAAGGCCTTTTAAAATTCCACCCTTTTCCTTGCATATTCCCTTTAGTGTGGTATTTTAAATGCATGCCCTTTGGATATGTAGGCAACAGGGAATATTTTGGAAGCAAATATAGTAATGAACACTGAAGTCTTGCCTATTTTTCTTTTAATCACTTGCATCAAGAGCATTTCCAGCAACAGAGAGGGTTATGATATTGCTAAATATTGCAGGACTGTTATATAATTTTATTTTTAAAGGTACATTAATTAAGATTTTACACAGTGCCCAATAAATCAAGTGACAATGGGATAGGATGTTGTTTCTCTCAGTCATACTACCCCCTCCATGACACACTGTCACTTACAGCCCTTTTGTTGTTCTTCCAGCTTCTCTACTGTTCTCTAAGAATAGCCAAGGTTATAAGAAGTGTTTTTTGAACTGTATGTAGTCATTTCAAACATCCAGCCATGGAGGCGCTCTGGGCAGCTAAAAGTCTGAACCAGCGACTGCCAAAGTAAAGAGGTGGTATCTTTTGCTCCGAGAGAGTGGGACAAAGAGAGAGCAAAAACCAGGATTAACATCTGTTTGGCTTTTTGACATGGAAAGGGTTAAAAGCCACTAAAGGCCTTAGATTTGAGCATCTTGTGGTGTCAGTTTGTTTTGCGTCTCACTAGACCCTCTAGTGGCCAAAAAGAAATAAGAAAGAGTAGCTTTAATGGTATGAAGTTATTCTGTAGTATGAGGCAATTGTTGTCTTCCCTTTAGTTGGGAATGATGCTGAATGATGTTTGTTTTTAATGTTAGCCAGATAAAGATTTTTATCCACCGACAGTATCTGGGAGACCAACACAGGTTTGATTTCTTAAATATAATTTACATGACTGAAATTCTTGTAAGTCTGGGTTTAGTCATTATCTGATGCTTTGACCACTGAGGTGGGTGTGTGGACAAAGAAGCTTGTTACTTGTTGACCTATTCCTATTCTTGTCTACCCAGATACGACAACATAGATGAAATATGTGTCTCTGTTCTTGCTCTTGGATGAGAAAGTTACTGAAATAAGACAGGAAACCTTAGGCCTAGTACTTGTGGCTTGCATTTTTCTTGGCACAGGCACTTTTATTTTTGTTGCACAATTTAAACAGGGAAGAAAAGGAGGTGTCATTGGAGAGAACAAAGAAAGAGGGGGATGAAAAGCCTTTTAAGGATGTGGCTGGGACAGAGAATGATCTCAGAAGTTGCCCAGTAGAGTAAGAGTGTAGTGTCTGTGATGTAATACTAATGGACCAAAGCAGAGTCTGGCTGCATCATCTCAGTGCTGTTTTTAGGACCTGTTCTTATGAGACTTTATCTGGTCCACAGATTGACTTCTGAGTTTTTACTTTGGTTTAATATAGACCTTTTTAACATATTTATTTTAAATCTGTACTTTCTTGCCCTTTGCCACGTTGTTCCTCCCAGTTTACTGGAACACATTTGATCAAACTATTCTGGTTATGTCTTTGGTACCCACACTGTAATTGTTTGCTAAATAAGACTGCAATGATGTAATGCAGCCTTTGTAGTATTAAATGTGAGCTCAGACTTTTTAATATATGTATGAACTTGCTGAACAAGTACTGTAGTTCACCAACAAAGGAAGAGGTAGACAGTATTTACTTTTTGTCATTACTTTTGGCAAGCAGTTGATGTTAAAAGTTGTATTTTAGCGCAAGCAACTCCATGTCAGTCTTCTTTATTCTAACTGAAGTAGATGAGAATAGGGCTGCAACTTTAGTGTAAATGCCATTCTAAATTCCTAAAGATTATATCCTACAATATGTTTAGTTTTTGTTTTTAAAAATAGCTTAATTATTAATCAGTCATCAGAATATCCTTTTGTTTAGTGTAGTTGCCTCTGTTGGCAACTGCTGTCAGTGTGTTTGTAGAATATTTTATATACAAGAAAGAGAGAGAAAGGTGTTGCATTGATTTATGCTTTTGGAAAAATTTAAATTTATTTTGGAGTAGGGTTGCGAAATGTAGATAAAATATTTTATAGGTAGATTATTAATTCAGTTGTTCATACTACTGTACCTGCTGGTACCTAGTTATCAGCTTCATTATAGCTTTTAATTCTGAAAGATCATTCCTCTTCACTTAGTCTGCTTCATCTGTTATTCCATCCAACAGTTACCTATAAGACTCCCAGTGTTTGGGCATAATTACTTATTTAAATACATAGACATATCAGAAATGTCTCCAAAGTTAAACAAAACTGAATGGAGATTTTCTCATGACTTAGAGGGATGGAATGGGTTTTTATGGTGAAAATGTAAACGTTAGTTTTTGTTTTTTTTTTAGTTTTTCAAAGAAGGATTTATAACTACACTCAACATGCTGCATCAGCCAAAAAAAAAAAAGACCACAGACTTCCTTTCCTGTTTCTTTTGTACCCTGCTGTTTTTACTTTGGATGGCAGGAAAGGTCCTTGGCTAATCTCCCATAATTGGACAATCGGCCCCTATTACAGCCATTACCTTTGGGCCTGTTAAGCAATAGCTCCTTGTCTCATCCATCCTAAGGCAAGAACCAGTTGACAGCTACAGTTGCTATTAAATACCATATTTTTTCAAGAAAGAGAATAACATGGCAGCTTTTTCCCCTAAAGCATAGGTGTGTGGCACACCTATAAATCAAGTCCTACTGTTATTTTACCCATCTAAATCTATAAATCAACCAAATAATAATTTTTTTCTTTATTTTCTTTAGGTCTCCAAGGACTTAGACATCTTTCAAATATATAAAATCTGTCTCATCGTGGTGGACTCCCGAGTTACAAGCACCAAGGAACTGGACTAGAAGGAAACATCTTGGAACCAGCCAGGGTTTGTCGCCGGGGGCACCCTAAACAAAATTCAAAACTGAAGTTTATGTGTGTGACATATTTTCTCCCAGGACACAAACTGAACAAATCCTGTCCTGCCGTGAAACCCTCGGCACCATTAACACAGTCTAGTCCTCTTGTCATGTGGGTACATTACAGAAAAAGGCCCATATTACCCTCACTGGTATCACCATCTTTTACGTCACCA